CTTCACACTCTTTGTCAGGAGAAGAAGCTTGATGAGGCATATGATCTGCTTTCCATTGCCAGTAGGCGAGGTTACTTTGTCGATGAGGTTAGTTATGGCACTCTAATAAGTGGATATTCTAAGCACGAGCAGCTTGCTAAAGCTTTAGATCTTTGGGATGAGATGAAGGAGAAAAAGATTATTCCAAGCATCATCACCTATAACTCCATGATAGCTGGGTTGTCTCGCTCCGGGAAAACTGATCAAGCAATAGATTTGTTGAATGAGTTACTAGGAAATGGTTTGTCTCCAGACGAAATTACTTACAATACCATTATTCATGGATACTGCTGGGAAGGGCAAATCGAGAAGGCGTTTCGGTTTCATAACCAAATGGTTGAGAATTTTTTCAAGCCTGATGTGTTCACCTGTAATATTCTTCTCTATGGTCTTTGCACTGGAGGTATGCTTGACAAGGCTCTTAAACTTTTCAATACATGGATTTCAAAGGGGAAGCAAGTTGACCTGGTGACCTATAACACCATTATATCAAGCCTGTGTAGAGAAAGGAGATTGGAGGAAGCAACTGCTCTTTATGCAGAGATGAAAGAGAAGGGACTGAATCCTGATAGGTATACATATAATGCCATCCAAAAAGCTCTAACTGATGCAGGTAAGGTTGGTGATATTGAGGATTTTATTCTAAATGAGGTTGAGAAGGGTGATTCAGAATCTCAGTCCATACAAATGGACGGGAGACAAGATGAGGGTACCTGTACTTGTCCAGAAACTGATCAAAATTCCATAGCTTATTCTGAGAAGATAAGTCAATTATGTGCTCAAGGAAAATACAAGGATGCCGTTCGACATGTTCATGAATCTAGAGACAACGGTATAACGTTACAGGCATCAACCTATGTCAATTTAATGACCGGACTTATTAGAAGACGAAAAAGAACATCAAAGGCAGCAAATTGTAGTGGATCATGATTGGCTGTGTTCTGCAGTGCTGTGCTGGATCATTAAATTTTTCATTGAAGCCAAGAAATGGAATGGTATGTAATTTTCTAATGATTAGCAGCTTCCTTCATCCTCGGAATGTTCTATTATTAGTAGATAGGTTTTTTCCTCGTGAAGTGTTTATTAGGAAATAGGTATAACTATAAATTCGTATTTGTGTTGCGCTCTGTCTAGTATTGAATCATGTAGTTCTGCTTTTCTTTACTTGGTTTCTCCTCACTCAAGAAGGTTAGTACATCCTTTTTCCCCAGGACATGGTAAAAATAACACCAATTTGTGGGAGGCGACCACTGGAAGAAGTTTACATCTATTTTTTCCAGCTTTACGGGCAAGGTTTGTCGATTCAAATCAAAGAGTTGATAATCATATATGAGCATACACAAAGTTATTTTCCTGCTAAGTTTAATAGTTCTTCTTCGATAATGTTTTTCCAGGTTTCAACTATTTTGTTCTGATTATGCAGTGTTACCCTGGTGAAGATGATCTGACAATTGCAAGGAGGGTTCTGATGTATGCATGTCTCGCATTTTTTGGACAATTTTCAGTCTCTCATATTGTGTCGTGATGCTTAACATGACATTCACAGCTAATTAGTAAAGTATCCTACTGGTTGCAGGTTGTGCTCATCCATGGGGAAGATGAGGGATGCTAACTTTTGCTGGGTGGGGTAAAGAAACAGGTGAAAACCTAAGTAACTCAGAGTTCCTACAATCAGATTTTATCCAGTTCATCTCTTATCTTTTACCAACGTAAGTTTATATCATTAATCATACCATTAATGTTGTTTTCGTTTCAATCTATCTGCATTGTTCTCATCTTCCAAGCTGATCGATTGTGTTTGGTTCTGAAAAGAACTCGATATGGCAACGTGCAGGTTGCAGAGAGATGCATACCCACTTCTTAAGCATATGTTGCCAGCAGAGCATGGACAGAGAACCAGTTACAGGCCGCAGCACATTACAAAGAAGCAATCTGCCATGAATACTAGTATAGGAAAGCAGGAATTTGACAACAGGTACAAATTCTTTTGTAGGTGGCAAGCATGGTGTATGAGATGTTGAAACCGCCTATGGTTGCAAAATTATGACTACTGATATGTCTCTATGTTATACTTTTCCCACATGTAGTTGAACATTTTAGAAATTTTGTTTATGCAGAAGACTCGGTTCTGACTATCGAACTCAGGAGTGGAAGCAAAACACTGAATCAAAGATGGGTAGCCAGTAAACCCTCTAATTTTCTTGCACAAATTGAAAGATTAAAAGGGAGAAAGAATTGTTTTTTTTTTGTGTGTGGGTATTATTAATTTTCTCCCTAATTGAGTCATTCTACTTAATTGTCTTGTCACGCATTAGAATTATAGTTCCAGCACTTGCCAATCGGCTAGCTAATAACAGGATATTAATTAATTATGAGTTCTTCCAGAAAAATGAGGACACAAAATAGATAGCCCTATCTTTCAAATGTTTGACATTTATCATAATTTCTTCTAGATAAGGATGATGATTTATGACTGGTATTGGAGTAATTGGGGGTGTGATACATAATTTCTTCTAAGATAAGGTAAAAAACGAGTAACAAAATCATTACAAATCAAACCCTACAAACCAAACCCTATAAGTTCACTAATGATAACTAATGACCCGACAATCATTATTAATTGACCCCAAAGGTTACTATTGACTGACTCCCGCTGTCATCGGAAACAACTAATTACCCCATAAAATGTTTATCAACCATCCTTGAGAGTTTACTAACTAGTGACACCCTCTAATGATTAAATACTAACCCTTCCTCGACTTATCATTTCCTCTCTTTACTGTTAAGAATCGGTTGATTCAAATAACTCGAGTTGTCGGGAAATGTTCAACCGTGAATCATATACTGGGGTGGACCCAGGGGCCTTTGGGAGTGTCCCGGGACACCCCTAAATTTTGGAAAAACGATTTTCCAACCCCCAGTGGTAATTTATGTACTGCAAAAAACTTATAACTAATAGTCCGGGACACCCTAGAATTTGAAAAAAATGATTATCCTACTCTCGTTTGTAGCTTGCTTATGGGAATTTAAGTGGTAGCTAGTTTGGATAATTCAAACCCGAGACACTACTATTATTAATAAATATAATTTCCATTAGACTTTAACTTTTTTGTTGTTCTATTCTAAATACGGTAAACAAAAAGTATTCGTTTATCAGTAGTTCGATTGCATGTTGCATACGAACTATCACGTTTGATTGCAATCAATCTTGTAATTAAGTCTATTTGTGCTTGCCTTGAAAATGATTTGATCTTAAACTCTTCAAAATTCCTAATTAGTTCAACTTAGGTCGACTGATTATAAAAGGGATAAGCATAACATCATTGAAGGGACTAAGGATATTCTTGTGTTATTCCATTAATAATAACCCCATCCACATCCATCAAGTCTCAAATCATATATACTTTCAAGTCTCAAATTACTAATCTTTACGAGTGTTATAAAGGCCAAGTCTCCCATCTTACAATGTATTCAAAATTTTGTTTTTACAAAGATTGTATAAGTTTGATTTTTTTAGGTGCTACTAATTAAGAGATTCCAATCTCAAACCTACAGGTTCAAAACTAATGATATTACCATTTGATAAAAAACGAAACTTGTATCTTACAGACTCCAAAATCAAAGAAACAACCAGCTACAAAAAGAGTCAAGAGGTCGAAACAATTAAGAAACAAAATCCAACCCTCAGACAATTAATTGATGAAAAAATTAAAAATAAAGGAAACCCCCAAATCAGAAGTGGTCACTCAAAATTTTAATGTTGAATCATGTGTATGGAATCATACACCCACTACTTCCTAGGATAAGAAAGAAAGGCTAGGAAAGACTGAAGCTGAGTGGCAATATATAATTAACCACCCATCATAGGTTGAATGATTCAAGCTAAGACCCTTTTCTCAATATTGTGGGATTTCTTTTCATAAAAAGCGCCATCTTTGTTTGCCAAACCAATGATTGCCACACACTAAGGATATGAGATCAACCAACACCTGTTCTTAAAAGAAAATATAGAAATATATATCCGGAGGAGGAGAAATGTGTCGGTTTCGTTATATTGCTTTGATCATTAGATTTGTCGTTTACAATCGGTGAATGTATACGGTAGTCACCACAACATATATCTAATGAGTGTGTATCGCAGGATGATAGATCCGACAATGCAAATGTATACTTACTTAACGCGAATAAGGGTGAACATGTTATATCAATTGGAATTTGGAAAGGACCAACTCAATCCATAAAAGGGAAGAAACTAATCTAAGGGGAATAGTGGAAGCTATCGTCCTCAAATCTCAACTTGTTATGCATGACAACATGGGGACAAAATTATGCATGGGATTAGCAATTTGGGGAGTGACCCGTCCATAAGCTTACAAAAACATGACCTAATTTTTTCAGGTTACATGATGTTTCGCTTCCCTTAATGGATTTGTCAAGTGTGTATTAAGTACCTTATCTTTGCTTACCCTCTTTTTAGCTTTACTATGTAGCTTGGTTTTTGTTAGCAATAAAGCTAGGTGATGCATGTGCTCTCCATGGCAAGGCAGAATTTAAGAGACTTCATTTGTTGAGATCGTGGTTGTAGTATCAAGTTGTCGATTTATATTATTCTTGATCCATATTTGATTAGGAGAATTAGTGTTCTTGTGACATAGAACTTATTTATGACGTCGATATCTCTCTTCAAGAGTCTCCTAAGAATACACTATGATCAAACAATGTTTCCTCATCAGTGTTGATAAGGTGAGAGAAACAACAAATTTGATACATAGAGTTCTTTAATTTATAGTGTTAGAATGTTCTAAAATTCTACTCCATCAACAAGACTTTCGTTCGAAACATTACTTTGTACACTATGTCTGTAACACACTCTCATACTTTAGGGTAAACCTATTAATATGTGGAGTTGGTGAAGTTCTAAAATTTAGAGAACGAATTTGTAGACTCTCGTTTGATCATTAAAAAAACATTGTGGCAACAAGGAATGGAAGGCGGATTAGAGAGAGAACCAATGAAGTGAGTTATCTAGATAAGGTTGTCCATGTTAGCTAATTAGGAAGTTATGTGTTAATTTGTTGTAGTGACACTTATTTGTTTATGCTAATATGTAGGTCCATTCTGAATGGTAAAATAGATAGAGATGCTAAGATGGACTAAGAAACCATTTCGGTAGTTAGTGAAAAGTTAAGCGATCGTTTTGTTATGACTACAAAGTAAGTGACCATTTTCTCATTTAGCCCTGAGGTGAGAGACCGGCCCATCCAATATTAGACTAAGTCAAAGTCCTGGGCCAGGAAATCGGCCCATAATTTTGTTTTAGATGGGCCCATACTTCGTCCAGTTGTGGTCCAACATCAACGTCCATGGGGACAAGAGATTAACTCCGCCCGCTCCATGACAAAGGAATCAAACGGCTCGGATTCTCCAACCTCAAAAACCTCCAAAAACATCTGACAAGACCTAAAAGCGACTCCTTCCTGAATCCTGATCGACCTTAAGGCTTGGCTCGATTTCATCTTCTGCATTGCAAGCAAAAGCTTCCAGCGAAAAGCTTCGGATCATCAGCGACAGGTGAAAGAAACGATGTCGGTCACCCTCAACAATGGCTTGAAGATGCCCATCGTCGGGCTGGGAGTGTGGCGAATGGAAGGGAAAGAGATTAGGGACCTAATCCTGAACGCTATCAAGATCGGCTATCGCCATTTTGATTGCGCTGGTACTTTTACTCCACACTCTTACTCTCTTTACTGCGTCTCTTCGCTCGTGGGTTCATGATTAGTTAGCGAAATTCGAGCTTGGTCTTTAACGGGTTTTGGTTTGATTCTACCGAAACCAAACAATTTCATCAAAAGATTGGTGCTTTTTTTTAGCGCTGAGGGTTCGTTTGAATCGTTTGAATTGTCTGAATGAGTCGTGCGGGGTTGTGATTGGCAGCTGATTATAAGAACGAGGCTGAAGTTGGGGAAGCGCTTGCTGAAGCTTTCAAGACTGGTCTTGTGAAAAGGGAGGAGCTTTTCATCACTACTAAGGTCTGTTTTTTTTTAAGCGTCACAATTGTTGGTTTTTGGTCTTGATTGATTGATGAAATTTGAGATGACATAAGGTTTGATATTGATGATCCCTTGTTGATCTCTTTTTCCTGTTTCCTGTTCTTCCAATGGCTTTCTTTCAGCTGTGGAATTCGGATCATGGACATGTTCTGGAGGCTTGCAAAGATAGTCTGAAGAAGCTTCAGCTAGATTATCTGGATCTCTACCTTGTTCACTTCCCTGTCGCCACCAAGCATACCGGTATGAGTACTCACTTGTTCCCCTTCGATATTATTTCTGCGGGGTTTTCATTTCTGCTCTGTCAATTTGTGTCCCAAGTGCAGACTAGACTACTTAGTGCCTTATCACCAGGCTTTTGTTCTAATGTTAATCTGTGTATCCGAGTCTGATTAGTCAATAGTTGCCTTAGAACCACTACAAAATGCTTAAGCTACACCTTCATATCTGCTGGTCCTCACATGATTTACTTGTCTAGGAGTTGGCACGACATCTAGTGCTGTGGACGACGAAGGCGTTCTGGAAATCGACACAACCATATCGCTAGAAGCTACTTGGCATGACATGGAAGACCTTGTCTCCAAGGGTTTAGCTCGAAGCATCGGTATAAGGTTAGCAACTCCACTCGCAAATTATGTAGGTGTTCTCTGATGGGTTAACCTTATAAGAAACAACTACCATTTCTGCATGTTTTTTCTATTCTTCATTTCTTGCAAGCTTATTAGTTATTACGGGTTGCTGTGTAACTCTCTGATGCATTGGTGTTTTTTTCTACAGCAACTATGATATCTTTCTCACCAGAGACTGCTTAGCCTATTCGAAAATCAAGCCTGCAGTGAATCAAATCGAGACTCATCCATATTTCCAACGTGAGTCTCTCGTGAAATTCTGTAAGAAGCATGGTGTCTCAGTGACAGCTCACACCCCTCTGGGGGGCTCTGCAGCTAACACCGAATGGTTCGGCTCAGTCTCGTGCTTGGATGATGATGTTCTCAAAGTAAGTTGTGAAACCAAACTTGGTCAATCATTCTTCACTGTTACTCTTTGTTTCTTTTGCTCACTCTCAACTCTTTTCCACCCTTTTCTATCAGGGTTTGGCTGCGAAATACAAGAAAACACCTGCTCAAATTGCACTAAGGTGGGGGATCCAGAGAGACACAGTTGTCATCCCCAAGTCTTCCAAGGTTGAGAGACTTAAAGAGAACTTTGAAGTTTCCGACTTTGAGCTTACCAAAGAGGATATGGAGCTGATCAAGGGAATGGACAGAAAGTATCGTACCAATCAACCTGCCAATTTCTGGGGTGTCGATCTCTATGCTTAGATTGGTATCTTGTCTCTGGTTATCTTTGAGAACCGTTGAACCTATCCTGAATAAGGAGCTGGACACATTTCTAGTGTAAGTTTTTCAAATTAGCTCCAATTGTCGACTCAGTCAACCAAGTAGATCAAGGCTCGTTATGGTCAATCCCGATTTGATATGTCGGTTTCACATCAGTTTAAGTCAGCAAATCAATGTTCGAGTTGGCGATGTGCGCTTAAAATTTGTATACATAATAATATTGTCTTGGTAAATTTGTACTTTTTCACGGCCCAATAAATAATTAATAAGCCAATGATTTTTTCCCGTATTTCAAAATACGATCACATTCTTTACTCAAGTAAAGCGTTGGATACCGGTAGACTCAGTCTTTGTGTCCAATTTCTCTTTTGCAGATGATGATTGTGTTAGAGAAAGAACCGAAACCCCTGAACCTCGACCTACGAGTGGGAACAAAGAGTTTAATCGACGATCCACCAGTCAGGCGTCGGCTTGACACCGATCCGACTCTAAAGGATAGGTTAGATTAGAGGGGTCATTTTTCAAGCACGAATAGAAAGATCTTGGGCTATAATATTAAACCGAAACTGGGATTATCCGCTAAGAATTATTGTAGAGCTGTTTATGAATGTCTCTGTGGTGGACTTTATTTTACCAAAGATGATGACAACGTGAACTCCCAACTATTTATGCGTTGGTCTCTTCCAGGGACGGTCACCAAAGTTTCATTACTAGTATGAAGAAGTGGATGGAGTCCACGTGGCCCAACATGAAGCAGGGTCGCCGGTGTTGCACTTTTTCCAGCTGCACCGAAGCATTGGCCTTCATAGAGATGTTTGTCATATGTTGGATTCGATCGCATCTGTCATCTTGTAGTTTGTTGGTAGAGAGAACAAAAGGACAACTCATTTGGTAGCTAGAAAGGCCCTATTGAATATTGATGTCACTCCCAGCCTTTTATGGGTTTGACTTAGATTCCTGTTTACGTTCTCGGTTCATGTAATTCGTATGTATCTGGATCGTTAGTTCATCTTTAATGAGAGATCCATTGGCCAAAAAAAAAAAAAGGCAGAAAGCACAGTCACTAGTATGCTACAAGGCAACCATATCTAGAGAGTAAAAATGCCAAAATTTTGAACCATTTTCCTACTGCTTCTCCGATGACCTCCTCTTAAGCTAAGTATATTTCCTTCAAGAATTTAGCTCACTTATTATATCATGAAGACGATCATTGCAACGTGCTATGTTTTGAACTAGCCACTCACATCTTTCACAGATACACACATTCGTCACGCCTCACGCCTCCGACAAGGTTCGAAGACTTACATCTCCTCAGGCATGAAATTGTTCATAACATGCCACCTCGAAGGCAGAGGACTCAACAAAAATGCCTCTCGTCACCCCAAAGGCAGAATAACTCTAGAGCAACACATTGATTCTCGAAGACACACCTCCCAAGGCAGGAGCTCACTCATAAAACGTCACCCCAAAGGCAGAGCAACTTCACAAAATATGCCTTTCGAGGTAGGATTGTTCATAACACGCCACCCGGAAGATAGAACAACTATAGAGAAACGTCCCGAGACATGAAGAATTATGCCTCCCAAGGCAGGAGCTTGCCCATAAATTGCCACCCTGAAGGCACTTCAGAAAAGATGCCTTCCAAGGCAGGATTGTTCGTTACACGCCATACCGAAGATAGAACAACCCAACCACAAAATGTCTTATGAGGCAGGAGCTCAATTATAAAACGTCACCCTGACGGCAGAGCGACTCCACAAAAGTACCTCTCAAGGCATGAAGTTGTTCATAACATGCCACCTTGTAGGCAGAACAATTCCGGAGTAACGACTTGAGGCTTGGAGCCTCCGGCCTCCGAGCTAGACTCAAAGACTCAAACCTCCCACCTCTGGGTTAGGCTTGATTACCCAAGCCTTCGTCCCTAAGGCTTGACTAGAAGACTCACGCTCCCGCCTATGGGTTAGGCTGGACGACTCAAGACTCTTGGCTAAACACGAAGGCTACCAAACTCACGCCTCCAGCCTCCGAGCAGGCGCAAAGACTTACGCCTTCGGCCTTCCAACAAGCCGGAAAGACGATCAACCTCCCGACATGCTCAAAAACAAAATGCCCCTGACAGACTCAAATGAGACACGCCTCCCCGCATACTGAAAGATGGTACACCTCTCAACGGGCTCCAAGAAGAAGCGCCTTTCGACAGGTTGAAAGACGAACCCCTCCGGAGTCCGGACTATTCTCGAAGACGTACGCCTCCCGTTTCCAGGAACTTCTTGAGTTAAAACTCTCAAGTAATGAGGCCCACCCTCACTAGCACATAGCTAACGCCTAATAATCAGCCAACAACTTACGCTTACACATGCACACAAGCTCGTTCCTATCATGCGGCCCAACAGTTTAACGCATAAATCTCCATATATTATGTTTGGAATAATAAAAAGGTTGAGAATTGAATTCCAATGGGTCTAAAATATGGGAATTACAATTCCTATCAAAAGTGATAGGAATTGACAGCCTGTTTGGATACAATTCCGGAAGAAATGGAAATGGAAATGGAATTCAATTTTTTATTTTTATAGAATTCCATTTCCAATTCTAGTGTTTGGTATAATTCCTACAACTATGGAAATGAATTGCACTTTTAACCATAATGAATAATGAATATGTTTGTTTTATTTTGGGAAATGAAATATGAATGAGAGAGAAAGATAGTAAAATGATAGTGGGTCAACAAAATAATAAAAAGTATTGATGGGTCCCACTAATTTCATCTTCATTCTCTCAATTCCTATCACTTTTGATAGGAATTGTAATTCCCATATTTTAGACCCATTGGAATTCAATTCTCAACCTTTTTATTATTCCAAACATAATATATGGAAATGGAATTGGAAATGGAATTCAAATTCCTTACTTTTTTGTCAATCCAAACAGGCTGTGAGAGAATGAAGATGGAATTAGTGGGACCCATCAATACTTTTTATTATTTTGTTGACCCACTATCATTTTACTCTCTTTCTCTCTCATTCATATTTCATTTCCCAAAATAAAACAAACATATTACATTATTCATTATTGTTAAAAGTGCAATTCATTTCCATAGTTGTAGGAATTATACCAAACACTAGAATTGGAAATGGAATTCTATAAAAATAAAAAATTGAATTCCATTTCCATTTCCATTTCCTCCGGAATTGTATCCAAACAGGCTGTAAATGATTTGAGAGCTCTAAATCAAGTCAGCCAAAGCTAAGAAAGGGGCAAAGAAAATGGACACACATCTTTGCGCAAGGGAAAAAGGCGCACATATTGGCTTGCAAGTAGGTACATTTATATGCTTTCACACATTATGTCACTCCTTTCACTCTTACATAATTCAAGAAGTAAAGGAGCAATTGTTGGGATATGAATTAATCTACCACGCTATCAATGGGCCCAAGCCCACTACAATGTATCTCACTGGGACCAAGCCCATTGAAAATCCAAACTCCTATATATGGAGGATCAAGATCATAGGGGATATGAATTAATCTTCCATATATCGTTATAACTTTGGAGTCGTAGCTTAGATCACAGAGGCCACGTCGTCCTCTTCACAGACCCGCCCACTGCTGAGGAGATAAAACGAGGATTTCCAAATCAGGGGCGGAGCCAGGATTTGTGAGTGGGGGGGGGGGGGGGATTTTTTTAACGTATTATCATCCGATATTTAGAAAAGATAATTGATAGCATAGAAGAATAAAATTAGCTATTTTTCACAAGTGCCCGAAAATACATTTAAGATAATTAAAAGATCTAAATATATTATCTTTAGAATAATATGTTATGGATAAATAAATAAATTACCAAAAAAAGAGTCTTTTTTTCAATTTGTGCCATGCTATTCACTCTTATTGCAACTTAAAAATGAATGTATGTGAATTATAAACACAAGATAAAACTTAAGTTTCTATCTTAAATGAAAATAGCTTTCATTGGGAATTGAACTAAAGAATCTTAAAAATAAAAAAGGACGGAATAAATGTAAATTTTTTTAATGGAGATCAAACCCTCATCTCCAAATAAAAAAGTACTAGACGAAATTTGTTTGATCTATCTTCACACTTGTTTTATTTATATAAATCTTTAAACTTATACGTATAATTTCTAAAATTCCTGGCGTATATACAAGCGATCTTCAAAATTCTCGGGGGGGCGAGGGGGGGGGGGGGCTCCAACGTAGCTCCGCCCCTGTTCCAGATCGAAGCCCCTAATACTACTGTATTGGTTTAAATGGTTTCACATAACATAAAAAAAAGTATATCATACCACGAAGTAGTGATGTTTGATTTCCATCTCAACATTCAATCCAATGAACTCGTACAGATGCCTGCTGGTGTGACTCTTTTCTACTCTCAAGTAGAAACCCACCTTGAACACACGCTCAAAATCAGCAGCAATGGCCATCTGCTTACGCAACTTATCAGATTGGCAACAACACCTCCTCGCTAGTGTCCTCCATCAACTTTGGAGTGTGGATCTCGTGAAATTCTTAGAGAATAGTCACTCCCTAAATGCCTAGATCAGGGCGTTTTGTAGCTGAAAGATTGCCTAATTGGTTGAAGTTTGCAATTCCATCACACGATTGTCCAGCCGCGTATCCGTATTTACACGCACAATCGGTTCACCTTTCTTCAGCATTTCTTCAATCTCATTGTCGCTACGGGAAGCATCATTGAGGATGTAGTTCAACCAGCTGAGTCGTTCTCCCTAATTAGATCTGTGGGCACTGATACGATGCTATGAACTTCAACGATGGATTTTTTTGACAAGTTAGTAGCGAATTGACCATTGGACGGCTAACGATCTCAGGCGTTTCTTGCACAACGCACTGAAACGTGAAATTCTCTTTCCGAACGACGACAAATGCCATCGTGCGTAGCAACACATGCTTTGACTCTTCCCCGGATTCGGTCCTCCCAGACTCAATTCATAAGCATTTTCGGGTTCAAATCTTTCACATTTTCCAAACAGTTAGATATGCGTCGCCTTCTTTTGTAGATTTTCTTCTTTCGTTGCCGCCTTCATCAACTATCAATTATTAAAAGATCCCATCAACTTACTTCTTATAAACTCCTACCAAATGCTCCTAAAATTTATACAACTTCAAATAAAAAAAATGTTAGTACTTGTCCAAGAGACCAAGACTAGATCATCCAACTTTCTCTCAGTCTTTGTGGTCATATCAGCGTAAGATCGTCATCCACTCCAACATTCTAACTTACAGGTATATGATTAATTTTATAATTCTCAAGAAACATAAAGAAGGTATAAAAATCAACATACTATGTCCATTTAAGATTGCTGATAAATAACAATTATAATACTTACCTACAGACACCGTCACAAAACTCAAAATAAAACCACCCTGAAACTTAAAATCATGAAAATTCTAGAACAGTAAAATAAAAATCTTTACTTTGCATATTATGTTATTTCAATGTTACTCTATTAAGGGAAAACACAATTTTGAAAAACTTATCAACAAGAAAATTTGGAGATCGAAACGAATGATGCATGGAGATATTTAGAGATGAGTTGTCAGCTATGTGTATAAGAATAAGAAGATAGAGACAGATGGACCGTAGAGAATTGGAGATTTGTTGGAATGATCGAAGAATGAAAATAATCATCACTAGACAAGTGAAGTGCGATGGAGGTGGATGACGAGAATGATGGAAAACAAACAAGAAGGAAATAACTTAGTGGAATGATTAGAAATGATAAAAAAAAGTGCAAGTAAAAAGAAGAAAAAAACTAAGAGAACAAGTACCATTATAATTATGTTGTTAAATATATATGGATTCAATACTAAAGGGTCATTTGGTTTCTTCGAATCTTACGGATATACATTTTGTGATGTATACCTGCATTGCAATATACATGTATCAAACTAATGATACTTTGTGAGATTACAACATTTGATTTTCGTGTTCGTATTTGGATGCTTTAAAGAAGACTATATTTACTTTTATTATGAAAATATCATTTTTATCCTTTTTAATTGTAAAAAAACTATTTGTTCTTTGTGCTCTCTTCTTTCTCTTACAAGCTAAAAAACTACAAATCTATTAATCCACAGTATCTATCAATAAACAACAAAATGGAAGCAGGCGATAATTTTGAAGGTTGGTATCCTATTTTTGTTAACTATTTTTTCAACAATTTCCTATTAGGTACTAAGTGTTCATTGTAATTACAACCAATAATAGAAGTCGTACATACAAAAGATATACATCTAGTAAAAAGTCTATGTTCTTTCATATGTCTCAAGAGACTTCCAAGGAAATATGAGAACATAAAGATCTAGTGAACGTTGTTAAAGCAACAAAAGAGTTTAGCCACCCACTCTGACCCCTCGTTGAAGTCTTATGTGAAAGTATCTCATATATGAAAGCGAATAAAAACAAGGAACAAACATTAGTATTTGAAAGAGAAACATGATAAAGAAAACATTTTAAGGTTGGGTTGGAAACTCACATAATGCCAAGTAATGATATATGGTGGAGCTTGAGAAGTATGCATCAATTTCCTACTTAATTTGGAAGCATCCATAAGGTATTTGGAAATGCATGAGCTCTGTTAATGCAGAAGAGCTCCCTGACTTTCACTTTAACCTGTAACACGATGAGACAATTAGCAAGTATCACAATTATACAAAGGATTTGAAGAGACAAGAACACAAACATACTTAATATTGTGTGGCTCCTTTGATTGGAACTTGAAGCCAAAAAGTTTAGCAAGGAGTATGGTGCAACTATAACACAACTACACTGTAATGAATTAAAACAATATATGACAAAACTTTGATCCTCAAAATGTCATACGTGAAAATCAACAAATGTGGTTCACTTCTGGAACGAACAATCTCTTAACCTTATGTTTACACTGCTGATTATGGATGATTGAAACTTATTACATTACGCTAATTTGAGGCTTTATTGGAATCAAACGATAGATTAACTCTCATGGCCATAATTTCGGGTACCTAAATCAATGATTGAAGAAGATAAATTCCCAAGTCATTGTGATAGTGTAAGAATTCATCATCCTTTGGTAAACTAAGTTTGAGTACAGTATCCCGATAAAACAAGCAAGTCAATACCTAGTTCGGAGAGGGCAACATTAACAGGTTCACAAGTTGTTCAATGAGTATACCACGATTAGCATACACTTGAAACAAGAGTCTAAACTATCGAAAACTTCAACGTTAACTTCTACTCCTCTTTCCCGTGATTACTAGTTTACTACCCTATCCTCAGGAAATCAAAAGAGAAGAATTAAGGTCATATACATGCATGATTTAGCCAGTTAGGTCATCAATCTAACAACGATCTTCAATTCCACGACGCCAGCCTAGGAGGCTTGACCATCACCATAGGTCAAATCGAACAATGATGTTAGGCAATTGTTGGGTAGGCCACATACGATCGTCACTACACGCTACAAAACCACCATGTGGTGGCATTCCACATCTGCGCATACCCAACAAGAAACACAACAACAAGATTAAAAAGAAAATGAATCTTAGGCATTACCATCAATAGTTAACTAGAAGTTCTCACCATCACATAGACTCACAACAAAAGCAAATACCTATCCCTACAATGACAAGAAATTTAGTTAATTATTAATCAAGAATTAGATTGGAAAATGCACCTGGTCAAGTCTATGACTCTGAGATGATTGTGCTAACATCAATACCACATGAATATGTTGTGCTCCTATACCGATCTCCTCACCTGAAGAAGAAGCACGAACGATGACCTAAATCAGCCAAGTTGAGTTCCAACTAGCACAACCTGGTGAACCCGTTTTCACTAATACTGAATACCTTAAAATAATAGTTGACGATAATTACCAAATCAGCAATAACTCCCGACAGACCAAGGGCATTATTGCTAATCAATCAAGCAATTTCATCTGTCCTGATAGTATTTCATACAAAACAAGCACAAAGTAGCTCAACCCTCATCAATCAGGAAGGCTCCTTTAGGAGAGCAACATTCTAATTTCTGAACAACTTATAAAATAAGATAAACAATCAAACTGTGACAACAAAACAAACTTTCGCCCCCCCTCCCCCCATGATTAGAATTCAAAAAATTTGATATACCTATAGAGTAAGAAGAGTTTTACATGGTCTTTCCTCTCTTTGCAAACCCCATCACTACTTTATGAAACCTGCCCAGTTGAGAAAACGGTAGCGAAGCTACAAGCAATGGTAGTATGGCTGCAACCCAAAGAGCTCCCAAGACACTCGCAACCCCAAACTCCATCTTCGTTTCCCACACAAACCCATATAAAATTTGAAAGCCTTGGCCTTCATGATAACGCCTTCGGTGAGTGTGAATGAAAAGTAAAGGAGACGCCTTTTAGTTTATCTAGGTCACTCAAGTCGTCGCAATTGTTGAAAGTCATAACAATGGCTAATGTGGTTATCATAAATTTATAAATTTTAGGCTTTTTCCATCCACTATTACTATTTTCAATTTCATTTAGGCCATTGAACTAATTATGTTTGAATTCATAAAGTATCGTTCAGAAAAGAAAGAACAAGTATTATTTAGTAAGACCCACATAGTTTACTGATCATCGAGGAAACTTAGCCGAATAGTTTTTTTTTTTTTTTGTGGGAAAGTAATAAATGTCCCAAGTAAAACGACGATACGACATCTTGAACCAATATAGTACGGCGGGTCGTTTTGGAGCAAGAATGGCGGGGAAAAACGACACCCAGTAAGCGCCCACCCAGGCCTCATCCATCACTGCTTAATCCCTCTCTCTCTCTCTCTCTAGCTCTATCTCTCCCCTCCCTCTGCGTGTTCGTTGATTCAGAAAATTTCGAGCTTTCTTTCATCTGCTTGGGGAGGTTAGGGATTGGGAATCAAATGTCGCTGATGCAATGACTCGATTCAGTAAGTCCTGATTCACCCTCTTCCCTGGATCGATTCTTTGTGGTTATGCACTACTGCGCAACTGTCCCCCTCCCTCTCTTTTAAGTTTTACCTGCGTCTCTCTCTCCCCCATTCTCGTTTTTTAGGTTTTATTTACGTGTTTGGGTTTATGCCCGCTACTAATTTTCTCTCTTGGAAATGCCCCACTCTTGCAAGGCAATGGTGAATGAGCTTATAGACATTCTTGGTTTCACTTATCTGGGTTTGGACTTTTGGGTGTTTCAGTTGATGGGTTTTCATTGGATTGGGGGCATCTTCTTACTCTGAGATATCCAATGAGTTGGTGTGAGATTAGCTGTTCTCTAGCTGCACTGGGTGTTGTTTGTCCTTTTGGTTGATTTGTAGCTTGTGGGGTTCTTTTGTCCTCACTGGAAATCCTTTGTTGTTGATGATCTCTTGTATCCGGTCAAGTTTTTGACTGGGACTACTGGATTGCTAGGTTTAGTTTGATTTTGCTTTGAATGCTAGCTCTCCCCAGCCTGTTTGTGGTTGCTTGGTCGTTTGCTTAGTCTGGGACTCTTTCAGGAATGGTTGTATTCCTTCTGGCTCTAGGATTTGACTGATAAGCTCTTAGTAGGATGGTGGAGTTCGTGAGGCTGAACCCACATGTTTAAGTTTAATGCTCTATTGGTTGGTTTCAAGAAGTGATCTTCATGAGTTGAGCCACTGGTACCAGTTGAGCCTTGCAACTTTGTTCTCATGGCTAAGGGATGCAGAACGAATCTGCATTGCTCGTATTGGTTTCACTTGAGTTTCTCCTGCTTTCTATGTCTCGTTGAAATTATAACGCATCATGTTACACACCAAGTGGTGTTGGGAAGTTGGGCGCTCCAGTCATTTGCTGCTGAAAGTCATCCAGATTTTGGGCTTTTCCTGCTATTGTTGATCTATCAGATAGATCTACTAGTTACGATTTTCTTCTTGCATCGTCTTATGCATGCTGATGAGCTCATATATGAAGTCTGGAGTGTTTTTCATCAGTCTTTGTTTGGTATCTTTGTTCTCATTAAGTAGTAGTTATCACTATTTAGTGACATTTAAGTGTAATGTGGCTCACTTCTCTCTGATTTGTTCGATTTCCTAGTTTGGTTCTCCTTTCTGAAAGCAAAATGATTCTTTTTTCAGGAAGGGTCCAGTATTCTGAATTCAGCTCTAAGAACCGGTTTCCATTCTGATGCTCATTCTCGACCGTGGATAGTGCTAACATTCAGGTAGAAGATGGATGATGGTCAAAATGGTAGGTACATGGACTATTACAAGGCTGCACATCCTCCGGTGAGCCTTCTTCACCTTGGATAGATTGTCTTTCATCTTCATTTTCTTCAGTTTATCCGCCATTTCCAGTCTAATTCAACTTCTCAAATGTATTAATTACCATGGAATTTGGTTTCCTCCACAGCAGTATCAGGGAAAGGAACAAACAAATGCCCTAGTAATGAACAAGAAGATCATGGCAATCCTTGCCGAGAAGGATGCTGCCATTCAAGAACGAAATCTAGCTGTTGCTGAGAAAAGGGAAGCCATAAAAGCCCGAGATGAAGCAATCCAGCAGCGGGAGAAAGCCCTAGCAGAGAGGGACAAAGCCCTGATGGAGCGAGACAATGCCTTGGCAGCAATTCAATATAGAGACAACTCGATGAACTTCTCGTTTGGACGTGGATCCAAGCGCATCCCGCATCCCATCTACCATACAGCGAACGACTTAGAAGAAGCGATGAATGGTGGACAGATGCCCAGCCCTGGTGCTGCCTTTCCGATAACTACAATACCTGCTGGAACACATAGCAAGCCACGTCAGACAAAGCGGTCGAAGGAGAACAAGGCAGTTTCTCTAAAGGCGAATAAATCTCCACGCAAGACAAACAACCACAAAATTGGGGAGGATCTCAACAGACAGGTGGCATCAGAAGGAAGGAAGTTCAAGTCCGATTGGGACACGCTGGATGTGGGGCTGAACTTGATCAGTTTCGACGAAGCCACAATGCCTGCTCCAGTTTGCACGTGTACCGGAGCTCCTCATCAGTGCTACAAGTGGGGGAATGGTGGGTGGCAGTCATCGTGTTGCACCACCACCATCTCGTGCCATCCACTGCCACAGCTGCCCAACAAGCGACACGCGAGGGTGGGAGGGAGGAAGATGAGCGGGAGCGTGTTCATGAAGTTGCTGAGTCGGCTGGCTGCTGAAGGGCACGATCTGGCGATTCCTCTTGATCTCAAGGATTACTGGGCTAGACACGGCACAAATCGCTACATCACCATTAAGTAGAGAGGGCTTCTCCTGTTCTCTCCTTCCTTTGATTTGGGGATGTTGAGTTGGTCTTTGTAATTGTTGTTGAGGTAGATAGACCCCCTTGCTGTATGTTCTTCATTGTTGCTGCTGAAAAACACTAGTGAACTGCTTTTTTTTGCAGCAGAATTGGAGCTACTGCTTGATAGAGAAGAGTCGTTTCTTCATCTTGATTGTGTTTCTTCTGTGTTCTCTTCTCCTTCAGCTTCTTGCTAGCATTCTGGTTTTATTGAATTGGGAAAATAATTGTCCCGAGTAACAAAAGGATCGCTATAATGTGCAGAGCTCAAGCCTGGCTTTGCTCGTCTCTCATGTGCACGTTGTGGCAAATGTTCAAGCATTTCACTCAAGAGAGTAGCATGCAGTTGCTTTCTCAAAGCATGTAATTCAAAATTCTCGATTTCTTGTTGATCAATCCAAACGAGCATTAGTAGCAAAGAAAAAGGAGGCGTACCAGAATAACGCGAAAAATGAACAACCCACAAGCCAAATCCGGCGGGATCCCTGAAACAGAAACAAACCCCAAACTCCCTGCCCGTTGACGATCTTTCTGCTTACTCTTCACTTTCCCCAACAAACACCACTTTCATAATGACACAATCCCCATTATCACCGCCATCATCACCAACTCACAGCAGTTTCAGAGCAAAGGTGAGAACTTTCTTCTTCCATCTCCCGAACCCGCAAATCCTAACTCTCTACACTCCATCAGCAGCTCTTCCACTTTCTTCCTCGGCGTCGCCATGCTCTTCCAATGGTACGTCCATGGCCGCCACCACCCTTCATTTCACTGGACGTTTTTTTCCTATATTTCTCTCCTCGCTCTCCCTTTCTCTCTTTTCCTCCTCTGTCTCCTCTCCGCCACCGTTTTCCGTCGCCGTCGCCGAAATGACGCCGTTTCTTTACCCCCAACTCAACAAAATGAAGAAGGAGAAACAGCTTCTTCCTCCTCTTCCATGATCTCGTCGTCGGAAGATGATGGTAATCACGGCGCCGCCGCCGGCGATTCCGGGTCGAATCAGAAGAGGGAGTTTGTCATTTGTGCCGTGTGTGCTTCAACACTAGTTGTATCCGGGTCGAATCGGACATGGGCACCGGCGGCGGCCATTGAAGAGGGGCGATTGAAGCTGGAACAGGGTGATTTTATGGTCTGTGCTTCGAGTTTGGTCGCTTCCTCTGGCGGGAATGGTAAAACAGGGGAGGTAACCGCAATTGGTGACGATGGTGGGGGATTGAGACGGAAGGGTAAAGAGTTCGTCGTTTGTACATCTAGCTTGGTTGATCAGAGTGTTAGGGATGAAACAGGGGAGGATAAAGCCGCCATTGGCGAGGGTAAGTCAAGGAAGAAGGTAGAATTCATCACCAATGACCAGGAATCGATTCCAAATGAAGAAACCGCGGTGGACGAATTCTTCAGTTGCGTTTCGGGCATGGTTCCGATTGTTACTGGTGGGTCTGAATCAGGGCCCACCATTGATCTTGTTCGATTGAGCATAGGGGAAGTGGAAGAAGAAGAAGAAGAATTGGGGTCGTGTGCGAAGCTGTTAAGGGCTATTGATGATGAAGATGATGACGATGAACTACAAGAAGAAAAAGAGAAGTAGTCGTTAGTGCTTCTAGTTTGGCGTTGGAGATGGTTGGTGATGGTGAAATTGAGGCCGCCATTGGTCATGGTAAATCGAGCTTCAAAGAAGAGCTGCTCCCATGAAGTTTGCGGCAGAATTTTAGCAACGATCTATGGTTGAGCGTTTTGAAGTTGAACTGTGAAGTCTTCAATTTTGTTTTCATTTGTTAATTCTTTTTTAGACTCGTCATAAAAGCAAGATCAACCATAGGCTACCAACAAGAAAGAATCCTCTGTTTGAGACAACCCAAATGGCTGGCATTGTCATATTATTGTTCTTTTTTCTGCTGGGGATTTGACGTTGGACGATTTCAACGTTTCGTTTATATGCCTGTACTACAAGTCTGCAACAGTTTGTCAACTTTATATACATCATCGCTGTGCAATAACGTAAGACTTTCTTCCCAATGCAGGATTTTCATCCCATTGATCGATCTATATAACTATCTACGCATATATGCATTACCAGTAGCTTCTGAACGTACCGACCAATCAATTGTCGTTGTTGGAGATCGCCTCTGGGAGTTTAAACTTAGGAGCTTTGTCCACACCTCTTCTTGAGTACTCCCTCCATCGTCTGGCAGCTGCAGCCGCTCTTTTTGATCTCTCCTTAGTTTCCTCCTCTGCGCCGAAGATTATCGAGCAACGTGAGTTGCACTTATTTTTGGTATTGCAGGGTTCCTCACTAAGAAATGGTGCATTACCTGAAGGCTGGCGGTCTTTTTGACTGCCCCACAAGTTGCTCCAGTACGAATCATCCTTATCAGCATCCTTGCCATTCTTCTTCATCATCTGCACCCTAGCTTTCTCCTGCAACGAATTGTACGTCTTCATCAGGATCTGTTCGGTTGGAGTGGAATATTGTTTCGTCTGTTTGAGATGCTACGCAAAGGGTGCAATTGCACTGGAATACAATACCTATCTTGCCAATGCAACTAGATGGTAGCTAGTTCATACTTTTCAGTTTCCAACTGAATATCATTGAAGCTTACCCAAATGTGTTCTCAACATGCAATCAGAATAGTTGAAAGAAACTAGATTAATATTCCATGGATGGTTGGAAGAAGGAGCCTACCAGTACTTTTGCTTGCCTCTTCTCCCACCGCGAACTTGCCTGCCACATTGTTGGGTACAACGTTAGCTCCAAACAGTTACCATAGCAATTGAGAATGATTGTGACTTTCCATCTAACTTTCCTAAAAGCATATGTAGGAGTAGTTGGTTGTGGTTGAATGTTAACCAACATTGCAGGTTAGAGTCGACTAAGATCAATCATACAAGAAACTAATTCTCTTCCTTGATTGTTGTTGTTTACAGAAACAATTCGATGACAACATATGTAGCAAATATCCAACTGGAAATGTGCCAATAGAAAACCAATAACAGATAGGAAATCAGAAAAAAGAATCCATTCGATGAAAGTCTAAACATCCTTACCATTCTGAAAACATCCACTGAGGCAGACCCCATTCCAGAAAGCATCAATGCCACCTGATCGTCATCGAGTTTAAGTCAGGTGTAAAAAAGTTATAGCACAACCGTAGCATGATTGTCACAATGTTTAGGCTTTGCTTCCAGCATAAATGATGTGTAACAGCTGTTGCAGGCTTGATACATGTACCATGTTCATGTCCATTTCTCACCATCGAGAATGGAAAATTCGACAAAGTTCCTTCGATATGTAGAAGATGAAGCAGTGAATCTTACATTTACTCTCTCCACTCTACGCATTTCGTCTTCAAGCAGAGATAATTGTGCTGCAGAAGTCCAATGGATGCAGTCAACAGGGCTGAAGCAACCAGAGACGCAATTGGTTAGTTACTCAGTACAGTGATGAATTGATGTTAAACCTCACTAATTGAAACTTGAAAGCACACAGAGCAATGCATCAAACTCTAAAAGGATAATACCAACTCTCAATGGCTTGTTGAACTAAATCCGAAACCCCGCATTGGCTGTACACTCTAGCTCTCCCAAAATCCTCCTCAATCCCAAACACATCAGGGGCAACATTGGCACAATTCTTGCAGCCTGGGAGGGAATATTGAAGGATCCCAAAATCATCAATTCATCATGCCAATGGGTAAGACTCTCATCATCACCAGCAGCTGCATAGATGATATTACAGCCTTACCTATGCAGCTAAATTCGTCAACAAAAGCATGATCCCTGGTACATGAATCATCAAGGAAAGGGTTGATTCCAGTCAAGGCATATCCATGAATTTCATCATAAACCATACGCTGAACAGGGTCACTCAGCACCTGCAATCCAAGAGGTCATATTTCTCGTTGATGAATACAAACGCAAACGATTAAGAGAGAAAAGGGTGGGTTTTGGTGCCGAACCTCATAGACCTCGTTGATGAACATACAAAAATTGGTGGTCTCGGCATCGTCACCGCTCAAATCCGGATGGCAAGCTTTCATGCAATTGTAGTAGGCTTTCTTAATCTGCTCCGGCGTAGCATCCGGAAGCTACCACACAATAGTAAATCACATCAACAATCAATCCCTAAATCACGAACCCACGACACACAATCAACTCATACTGTAATTCAAAGCAAAGGCAACACTCCAGAGTGAACCGCTTACCAAACCAAGGACAGCATAGTAGTCATCGGCGGTGGAAGGGCCATCGTCGGTGGCGACCCTAACTCGGCCGGCGGCAGCAGCAGGCCGTCGTCTCTTGGGGGCGAGGGAGCCGGAGAAGAGGCGGGAGGAAGCAGCCGAGGCGAAACTGACACATGGGTTTTGAAGCTTGAGGGGGTCAGTGCAGACTGGAGAGAGCAAGCGCGCCATTTTGCGTTTGGGAGAGGAGGTCAAAACTACAGCAACAGAAATGGCGGAAATTGTGGGGGGAAGAGGAAGGGTGATTGAGCAATGAAATAATGGTAGCGTACTAGCGTTCGGTGGTGGGTCGGTCCGCGGCAGAAGAAAACAGAGGATTTTTTCTTCTTCTTCTTGTTTGATGGGGAGATGAAAATGGATTTTGTGAGAGAATGCGTGGAAGGGAAGGCAATGGACAGAAGCGAACGCTGAGATGGCAGAGAGTGAGCCACTCACTGATTCTGAAAGTATCTGATGAGTGAGGGAGAGAGATTCAGGTTATCAAAATCCTTTTGCTCATTCATTCTAGTTTCTGCGCATCAAGTGTACTACGGACCAAATTCTTGGACCATTGTTTCTAGGTTTCGATAAGCACCGATTGTTCCTTTGGATTTGAGAGATTTGGAAAGGATGAGTCTCCAACTCTTGATTTTCATAATATCGATGTAGAAAATGAGACAATATTAAAGATCTAGGTTGAGTGTGTATGCATATGTAAGAGTCACCAACGTATAAAAAGAACGACAAAACTGAAAACATACTTACACGCATTTGTCAACAACATGGAAGACAAAGTAGTGGAAGATAAAAATGTTGAGTAGGCATTCAAAAGTAGTTTTCCATGCACCCACAATTTTAAGACTGAGGTGTGGTTTGGAAGTTATGAATTCTGAACGAGTGATCATGTGAATGTATGGTCGTTTGGATGGATCAATCCAGAAATGAGTTAATTTGATCAATTGTCTCGTTTTATAAATGAGGCAATTAAAACGAGTCAGTTCGAAATACCTGCCCCCACCCCAGGTAATTGAAATTGACTCAAAACGAATCAATTCAAAATACCTCAGGCAGATTGATCCATTCAAATTTTTTGCTGGCAAACGAGGCAATTTGGTACAATTGTCTCAAAACAAGACAATTGTGTCAAATTGATCCGTTACAATTCCTCATCCAAACGACCTAAGATGTATTCACATTTTACTTGATATTGTATATAATTTGCTCGATCCGTCTGGGTTGGATGAGGGGTTTCAAACAACAGATTTGCTCACATATTCTCTCAAACTTTGTTCTGTCTTCATCTTTGGTTATGAGTTTAGCGATAAGACCCTGCCAATTCCGATTATGATATCAATAACCAGAAATACCTCGATTCCATATCCTTCCGTCTCAACTAACGAGCTCTCACTTTTGCATCATCAACACTGCAAAAAGAGATTAATTCTCATATTATTACGAGTTTCGCATGCCCCGCCACATGTTTGGTACCTCCATCTACTTGTAGCTGAAAATTTTACCTTTTAGTAAGATGTTGGTCGTCCCTTATTATTCCCCCAACACAATTAAATTCTCCTTACCTATCACTAGTTAAAACTAGCAAGTGTTGTACAAGTTGGTGAAGCTTGAGGTGGGATGGGGAGGGTTCAATATTAGCAAAAAAAATTGTTGTGCTTGCTGATTCATCCATTTAGGGTTTGGGACTGAGCTCCTCTCCTCTAAAGGTGTGAATGACTTTTTTTTAGGTGAAAGTTAGGTTAAATCTTTTGACAATTCTATTGAAGACTAAAGTTGAGTGTTAACTTTCTTCACCAATACTCAAAAGCCTTAAAAAGGTAATACAATCTCATCATCATGTCATCTTTGATCTTCTATTGAAATCTTTTCGTCCTAGGATCAAAGACTAATGCACAAACGAAAAGAGATGGGAACTTACGACAACAAATAAGAGGATATGAGATCTTAAGAATGACTTGAAATTAGTAAACTTATTTTGTAACGATTTTAACTATTCATTTTACTCGTTTTAACTATTCATTTTAACTATTCATTTTAACAATTCATGATTGTGCATGAATTGTAGCAGACAATATTTCAAGATGCCGGTTTTGACCAAACGTGGCTACACACATGCATGGCTGAAATCTTCGGGATGCGAAAGTCAACTTAAACACATTATTTATAGACAATGATATGATATACTTGACAAATATTTTGACATTTCAAGGTTCGAACAAGTCAAACAAATGCTGGACAAGAGTCGAGAGTATCGGATTATGTTTGTGATATGATTTCGTATCGTATCTGCGGCCTATCGACTTAACATATCTCTGTAATCAGTTTAATTGACCACCAACACCAATGAATATAAAATTTGAGTTTGTTATATCCTTGTAACAGAAAAGAAAAGGTGTCAACAATTGAGGTATGTAGACCAAAAACCATAACCTACTCCACCTTTTTCAACCACCAATTTTCTACTATATGATACATTACTCGGTTCCACCACCTATCAATCTCACATTATCTTTCCAAAAAATAATTGACCCTAGATGAAAGACTTCCATGGAATCACGTCAATCTATAAATGGTTTCCAACCTAAATCAAATAAGATTGTTCTAAGAGCCAAGTCCATTTAAGAAAAAAGATGGATTATTTTATGTGGAATACTCATTTGATTCGTGTTTATCGTTTGATAAATTTTGCAATCGACCACCTTAATTTTGTTGGTTTTGACACACTTTATAATGTCTAGATTATTCTGTACGATGGAATATTTTTTTTTATGAAAAAATATATTAGAATCAAGATATCATTCAAGTGAGTCTAACATTTTAATCACTTGAACTATGATTATGTTGATGAATCTGTCTGTTTTATTAAAAAATTAGAGACGACTTATATAGTTTGTTGACATATATAATAGTATGAGAATCTTAATATCTCTCAATTGATCAATGTTACAAATTAGAATGTTTTTCTCATTAAAAAGCATTTTATAAAAAATGAAAAGTGCATAAATAATCTAAAACTTTATTGAAAAGAAAATTGATTGCTGAATAAGCTGCGTAGAGAGAGGCTGAAAATGAGGTCGGAATGAAACTCAAATTCGAACCAAATCCAAATGCACTTCCCAAAAATTCACATTTTTAATTAATTGAATATTTCTTTTTCTTATTTCCTTTATGGGTAAATTGCAAATTTGGTCATTGAGTTTACTAAAAACGTTCATGTTTAGTCACTAAAAATATTTAATTCCATTCGTAGTCACTAAAATTACTTAAACGTTTCAAGTTTGGTCACTCTCCGTCCAATTCTGTTAACTTTGGCTGACGTGGCAGTCAACTCTCATAGTTGACCGTTAAATGTGTGACGTGACAATTAAAAAACTATAAAAAATTAAAATTTAATCTTTAAACATTCCACCTCATTTTCACAACTATTCAAAAATAAAAATAAAACTAATTTTCTATAATTTCCTAAACCCAAACAACTATGTAATTGCGGTGTGGGAGTGAGTGAGGTTCACAGAGGAAGACAAAGCTTCAACTAATGGAAAATGTGGCTGATTCTCAGCCAAACCCGTCCCAACAACAAGATTGAATTTTGGACGATACCTTCACGGCGGTGCAGGAGAAGAACCTCGCTTGAAGAAAGAGGACCAATGCTTAGGATGGAATTGGGTTTAGCCTAATAGGGACTGTTCGAGGCAAGGGAAACAAATGTTGAAAATTGGAATTGGGTTTAGCCGATTCAGGATTGAAATTCTCGTTATATTTAAAGGTGCCATAGGTTGGTCTACTCAAGAGAGTTCCGGCGGCATGCCTGCGAAGCTGTAGACTGGCGATATCCGAGAAGGAAGCATAGGCGGTGGTGGTCGATTTCCGTTTCAAAAAAATTTCCGATCAGAGTCCCACGCTTTCCCTTGAAGTGCTTGAGAAACGCACTCGCATCGAGGGATCCGAGTCTGACCATCGACGATCTTAGAGCTGAGATGGAGAAGGAATCGCCATCATCTTATCAGAACGCTGGGAGTGCTAATGGAAACGAATTCGGGGGATTTGATGAGGGCGGCGAAGGTTTTGGAGATAGTGGCTTTCGGTACTTCATCTTCGTTTGCTGCTGCCGCGGCGACTCTGGCGATGCTTTGCTGAGCTGGGATCTGGAGGGCGAAAGGGTTTTTTATCGGAGAATGGCTTGGGATTTTCTTCGCAGGTGGGTTGAGGAAAGGATTACTTTAATTATAATTCTTTATATGTTTTATTTATTTCAGGTTTTTTTTTGTTTTTTAATTAGTGTAATAATGAGGTGGAAAATGTAAAAGATTTTTTTTTATTTTTAAATTTTTTTTAATTGCCACGTCACATATTTAACGGTCAACTATGAAAGTTGACTGCCACGTCAGCTAGAGTTAACGGAAATGGACGGAGAGTGACCAAACTTGAACCATTTAAATAAATTGAGTGACCAAGATTGGATTTAAATATTTCCAGTGACCAAACGTGAACGTTTTCTGTAATCTCAGTGACTAACCATGCAATTAACCCTTTCCTTTATTAATAAATTCACGCGTAGACTGACAGACTCTCCACTTCTTCTGTCCTTCCTCCGTCATGAAATCCGTGTCGTACACCTCGTCGCCTTAACCCAAAAAAAATAATTTTAAAATAATTTAGAGATTAAAATCCTCTCATTTCCTTCTTATTCTACTGCTCCTTCTTTCTTCATCTTCTACTTCTCTTCAGCCTTTGCAGCTGCGATGGTGTGTAGAACTGTAGATAGAGAAAAGAGCGAGACCCTATTTTTCTTTCCTACTCTTTTTCCCCATTCCCCTACTCGCCATTTCCGCCGCTGAAAACGGTGAAATTTCTTTTGACTAATGCTCTTTTCTTCCCCTTCCTAATCCCCTTTATACTGTGTTATCTCTATTTTTTTCTTCTTCTTCTCACTCTTTCGCCGGCCTCTAGCTGCCGTCTCCCGCTTCAGTAATGCTCTGCTCCCGTCACTAAACGAGGTAGTTGTTTGTTTGTTCGGCCCGCAAGGTGTTTGGTTGAATTCCCGTGAGAAAGGTTCGGCCTTTTTTGATGAATTTGTTTGTCTCTTTCTTTTCTGCCGATTTTGTTTGCAGTTGGTTTTTGATTTGGTCTATTGCTGGGGCCGAAGTGAGGTTTGCTTGTGGAGAAGTCAAGAGTTGGTGCTTTGTGTGGGAGTTGATACGGAGGAAGGGGGAAATGGGTGACACGGAAGAAATGAGCACTGACGTGATGCAGAGGTTGCAATCTTCTTTCGGGACAACTCAGTCTTCTTCTTCGATGTTAAAGCAGCAGCCTTTTTCATCAGGGAAGCAGCTTGATATCCCTCCTCTGAGTCAATCCCAAATGCGGGCGAGGCATTTCGCTCAGTTTGCTCAGCAGGGGTTTGGCAGCGAAAACAGCAGCAATGGCGGTAAGAGAGTTGGGATTCCGCCTTCACATCCCAACCAGATCCCACCCGTGTCCCCTTTCTCTCAGATCCCGGTGTCTAACAGGCCAATCAACCAGCAATTGGGTTCTCAGAACTTCAGCCCGGGGCGTGGTCATTCGCGATCCTTGTCACAGCCATCCTCGTTTTTCTCACTTGATTCTCTCCCGCCTCTAAGCCCTGCATCATTCAGAGACCATTCCCCAACTTCTGCTGTTTCAGAACAGCTGTCGACTGATGTTTCAATGGAGGATAGAAATGGGGACTCTCACTCTTTATTGCCACCGTCTCCATCGCCTTTTAGTAGGGTAGGTACTCCTCGAGCTGGTGAGAGTTTGCCTCCTAGGAAGGCTCATAGACGGTCTAATAGTGATATCCCATTTGGGTTTAGTGGCGTGATGCAGTCTCCGCCGCCTGTTTTGCCATCGAGAGGGACAGGTGGATTTGGTAAACCAACTCAGGCAGTGAAGAGGGAGTGGGAGAAAGGTGTTGATAGCAATGAAGAAGGGATGGGGGAGAGGAAATCTGAAGGTGAAGTTGTGGATGATTTGTTTTCTGCGTATATGAACTTGGACAACTTTGATACGTTGAACTCACACGGGAATGATGACAAGAATGGTACTGAGAATCGTGAGGATTTAGATAGCAGAGCTAGTGGAACGAAGACTAACGGAGATAGCAGTGATAATGAGGCTGAGAGCAGCATGAATGAGAGTGGGAGCAGCATTCCGAGAGGAGGTTTGAGTTCTTCGGTGGAGAGAAGGGAAGGGGTCAAAAGGAGTGCTGGAGGTGATATTGCTCCGACGTCAAGACATCATAGAAGTGTTTCCTTGGATAGTTTTATGGGGAAGTTGAGCTTTGGAGATGAGTCCCCAACGCTTCCCCCTTCACCGGGGCCTCTTCCAGGTCAATTATCTCCGACTAGCTCGATCGATGGGAGCACCTTCAGTTTGGATTTCGGGAATGGGGAGTTTAACAATGTTGAACTTAAGAAAATTATGGCGAATGAGAAACTTACTGAGATTGCTCTAACTGATCCAAAGCGTGCAAAGAGGTATCCTACCTCCCCACCGACTGGTTAGATACAGTTTATTATATTCTTCTATGCCACCAATACTTATCTTATTTTTTTGTTTGCTGGATCATTCAGGATTTTAGCAAATCGTCAATCTGCTGCTCGTTCGAAGGAACGGAAGGTGAGATACATTTCAGAACTGGAACACAAGGTGCAGACTCTTCAGACAGAAGCTACTACATTGTCTGCCCAGCTTACTCTATTGCAGGTAACGATGTTAATGATTCTAGAGCCTTTTCCTGTTTATATGTTTCATCAGTCTGGTTTAGTGATTCGTTTTTGGTTCGGTGTATGCAGAGAGATTCTGTTGGACTGACAAATCAGAATAATGAATTGAAGTTTCGTCTACAAGCGATGGAGCAACAGGCACAGCTTCGAGATGGTATGAACAAACATCTCCCTTTCTTTTTGTATGCGACATTGTATCTCTGACTGTGGTCCAAAACTCATTGGTTGCTTCATCATAACCGTAGTCCTGTATCCAGTGCCAATTGTTTATTTTCTTGATAGTTGAATGTCTATTCAAGCTTTGCACCATAGTTGGACATTCTGTGGTTAGGAAACTAGCTAGACTCCCTCCCCCCATTACCTCTTTTCTCCTCTTCTTTATAGACTTTTGCATCGTTCTCCCCATTATGTGCCATATCGGCTCCTGCCTGTCATCCCCTCTTTGTTGTTAGCAGGCTTCAACATCCTAAGACTTTTTTATCTCCTGGTTTTGTGAGTGACTTGCTCTAGTAGTACTTGTTGTTGCTTCTTAAACTAGGATTTTTAGGTAGGTGTTCATGTTCGATATCCACACCCTATTATTGTGCAATATAGCTTTAGGCATTGGGAGTTTTGCAAATAGTCTTCTTGAAATGCTGCCTCCGATTTTCACCTTTGGAGCTGTGAATAGAAAAACTAAAGTCGAAATGAAAACATAGGGGACACCTAGCTAGAATCTAGCTGTGGCTCCTCGTATTTGTGGTTTTATTCCCCTGCCATATTGCAAGATTCCTTGATGCAACTTGCCATTACTCTTTGCCAGCTCTCAACGAAGCTTTAACTGCCGAGGTTCGACGGCTGAAGATCGCCACTGCAGAAATGAACGGCAGCAGTTTCGACGCATCCAAAGGCATGGTCCAGCAGCAGATGTTCCAGCAGCAGCAGCAGCAGCAGATGTCCTCCCAGCGCAACACTCACCAGCAGCAACATGAACAGCAGAACGGAACAAAGTCGAAATCAGATGCAAGCCAGTAGATGCAAATTCATTCATTAAGTTTCTCTGTATCCCCACCGGCGGTGGTGATTGGAGATTTATCTTACCTTCTACTACCCCTTCAGGCATCATTATCTTTTGCTGCAATCAATGGTTATTCATATATATACAGGCGTCATTCGTATAATATATATGGTGTAGAGATGGTCATAGTCAAATGAGTAGAGCTCATATTCGTTTATGTACTTATATTTATGAAATTTATATTATATATGCATGTATATGAAGGCAAAGTAAAACGGGGTTGTCTGTTGAATATGTTGTATGGTTTTGTTGAGATTATAGACAGAAAAGTGCAGAAGTTTGTCTGAAAGCTTACTTTTTTTGTGCTATTTTAGTATAACAAGTTGTACGTTCCTTTCAGTATGGGTTCGTCCTTCTTTTCAATTGTTTATTTTGGTGGGGGAAGTAGAGAAGAAGCGTGGAACACGTTTGTGCATGTACAACGTACATAGTCTTCTGGTTAGCTTGAACTCCAAGGCAGTGGCACATGTGAAAGTAACAAGAACTTGCTTTGTCAGTTGGGCTACTTGAGAGCTATACATTAGCAGACTCTAGCTTTCGAGTTTCGAAACATAAAGAGATCTAAACAATTTGCAGGAAGCGATAAACGATTGATAACCAACTAATTATGACTAATGACTAATTACCAAAACGAATGGTCGAGTATATCCCTTCATGGACAAAAATGAGCATTAGATTTCCGTGTTATAAGATGATAAAACGTATGAAGTTGATAGAGACTCAAATTCTGACGCTTTGACATTATGATATTGACTTGATATCCATTAGAAGCCTTTGTAATAAAATATTGTACCTCACTATCATTATCAATTAAGTCAACCTAATACACTTATTAACACAATTTATTTACAATTCATCACTATTCTTTTGTAACTTTACTATAAACATCACAAACGTTTATCTTATCAATTCAATTTTTTTATACGAATTAACATGTATCCCACAAAAGTGGATGCTAATTTACAACTATACACCCATTTTAAAGCAAACGGCATCGTATAATCGTTCTACGGGTAGCCATATGCAACTTTCTTCAAACCCTAATACGATAAGCGGTAACCAACCAGTGATGAAGTTCCCGCATTTCCCCAACCGTACGAGTTACCTCTGTTCAATTCGTTACCTCCATGGCCGAGCTATCGGCCGAAGTTGCACCACCTGATCATCCTCCCGCAGCGCCGTCCAACTCCGACGGAGCTCCCAGACCAGCCGCTGCCACGCCCGGGGAGTTGGCGGCCAAAGGAGTTGCTCCGGTGAAAGTCGAATTCCTATGTCCGCCTCCTCCTCCCAGAACATCTCAAACTGATGCTAATAACCCGCCGTCGACCGCCGCGGCGGCGTCTAAGTCCGGCGTGTTGAAGCAGGGGAAGTCTAAACGCCAATTCAAGCGCGAACGGCGGCAGGTTTTTGCTCTCGCTCTTCCCTCTCATCAATCCAATTCTTACGGGTTTCTATGGAAATGAAATGAGAATTGAGAGAATGAAAATTCCGCAGGAGCAAAAGGCGTCTCATCTCTGTCCAGTGATAGCGAAGAGTGGAGATGTTAGTTCTTGCAAGTACGGCGATGATTGCCGATTCAGCCATGACTTGGAGGGATTCAAGGCTCAGGTGCTCTGAGAAATTCGGCTGCTCTCTCTCGAATATTTACTTGTTTGGTTCTCGAGAAAATTAGCAATGCAAGTGGAGGAAATTGAATACAATAGAATGCATCAATATTGCTTGATGTCAAATCCTTGTTGAACTGAATTCTGAGTGTGACACTAAGCTATCTATGTATGAACTGCTAGAGACCGGATGATCTGGATGGAGACTGTCCTTTCATAAGCGACGAAGGGAGATGCCCTTATGGCTTTGCATGTAGTTTTTATGGCACGCACAAGGAAGCTGTTGCTGGTGATAATAGCTTGATTGCACCGAAGAAAAATTGCTCTGAGACAAATGAATTGACCAAGGATGTTCAAAGGCTTTTGTGGAAGAACAATATGAAGTTTCCTAAAGCAGATGCCAAACTGAAAGCTCTTGGTCTCATGGTAATCCTCCTGTTCTTTCTCTGTTTGTTCATATGATCTCCAGTGACAGTAATCACGAGGCAGATGAGAATGGTTGCAGCAATGGGGTTGATGCGAAAGTTGAGAACCTGAATGGCGCGGGAGAAGAAGCACTGGAAGAGAATAGCGTGGTCGATGAACTCGGGCCATTAAAGAAAGCAAAACCAGATGTGGCTGAACAAGGTATGTGTGGTTTGATGTATTAGTTTAGTCCTGCAGTAAGTACCATCTGTGTGAAAAAATAAGGTAAAAAAACACTGTAACACCATTAATGTGTAGGACCATGTAGTCCGGGGAAGGAAGTTGATCAAAGTATCCTGGAAAAGCAGCCAGATGCTGTAAGTGAAGATAATCTACCTGTAGAGACAGATGGAAGTTTGAAATCACACCCACGTGAAAGAAAGCTCATTGACTTCAGTGGAAAGCTATATTTTGCACCATTGACTACTGTTGGAAATCTTTCCTTCCGAAGGCTTTGCAAAGCACTGGGAGCTGACATTACTTGTGGTGAAATGGCGATGTGCACAAATCTGTTGCAGGTCTGTATTTATTTTTGCTTTTTCTACAGTATGTGATAGAAAATCTAGTGATATAAACCAAACTTCTCGTCGTTTGCTGTGAATGGGACTTTGAGAATTTGTTAAACACTTGGTGCTCAGGGTCAAGCTTCTGAATGGGCATTGCTGAGACGCCATTCATCTGAGGATCTGTTTGCTGTTCAAATTTGTGGTGCATATGCAGATACAGTAGCACGTGCTGTTGAGCTGATAGACCGAGAATGTACGGTGGACTTTATTGATATAAACATGGGCTGCCCCATCGACCTTGTTGTGAGCAAAGGTGCTGGCTCTGCTCTCCTCTATAGGCCAGCCCGTATGAAAGGGGTTATAGAAGCTGCAAGTGGCACAATCGAAACACCCATCACAGTGAAGGTATAAAATCTTTATCCTGTTCTGTTTTCCACTCAAATTTTGGTGAAAGTAGTACTTTTCAACTTCAACAAGCTAGGCTACAAGACTTTATATTCGACTCTTTAATTGCTGATATTGGTAACTGGGGAGCCCATGCCATAACGGTTCATGGTCGAACAAGACAGCAGCGTTATAGCAAATCTGCAGACTGGGAGTACATATACCAATGTGCTAGAAAGGCCCCCGAATCTTGCAAGTGCTCAGAAATGGAGATGTTTGCGCATACACAGATTGGAGCCTCCACAAATCTAGCTGCCCTGAACTCTCTTCCTGCATGATAGGCAGAGGTGCACTGACCAAGGTTTGTGAAGAGTGAAGACACCCTTCTCTTACAGATATCTTATTTCTAGTATCATTCAGGAATGACAAGCGAGTTTCTTTTTGTTGCTTGTTGGCAGCCATGGATATTCACTGAAATCAAAGAACAGAGGCACTGGGACATCAGCTCTGGAGAACGACTCGATATCTTGAAGGATTATGTCCGGTTTGGCCTTCAGCATTGGGGCTCCGACACAAAGGGTGTGTTTATCTTATACTTTTGATAATAATCTAGACTTTTCTTTAAACTTTTAGTAATAGTGAAGAGAACATGCATTTGGTGAGCATTTAGTAATAGTAGAGTTGAATTGATGAGATGTGAGGTTTTAATAATTTTTAAGCTTGCATCCAGTTACAATCTTTTCTACTTCGGTACAGTGACACAGATATCTACTTTATAAACCTTCACAGTAGTCGAAACGACTAGGCATTTCCTGCTGGAATGGCTGAGCTACACATTCAGATACATACTGGTCGGTCTTCTGGACATCATTCCACAGCAGCTTAACTGGCGGCCTCCCTCGTATTATGGATGTAATGACCTCGAAACGCTCATGGCTTCTGAGTCTGCTGCGGATTGGGTAAATAATAATGATTTCTGTTTTGTGTTTCTGCTAATAACAATTCTTGAACGAGTACTGTTATTAACTAGTCTTACTACATCTTTCGCAGATTCGAATCTCTGAAATGTTGCTCGGCAAAGTTCCGAGTGGCTTTAGCTTTACGTTTCCACCGAAACACAAATCAAATGCCTACGATCGAGCTGAGAATGGCTAACATTCAGTTATGTACATTGGGAAGCTTCATTACTTGTGTAACAAGTTACTGCTGATCCCAAAAACTGGGAGCTCCACTCGAATTTCATGGGTACAGATTATATTACTGTTAGTACTTATCAGAGATGTAATTGCCCTACTTCTTATCCTATTGTTCTCTTTGCTGATTTTTGCTAATAAAAAGATTAAGGCGAATTGACACGATGAGCATATATAGAGGGTTGATTACATGAGAAGAGCTCATATATTGCCAAAGTTGGGATCGTGAAAGCGTAAGGATAGAAGAGCGTTAATTACATGAGAAATCTGCAGAAACTTGAACATCAAACAAGTGATGTTTAAAATCTATCATTCATCATCATTATCCGACATTACCATCTGCCATCAAACTCAAAAGGACTCGACTCTAAAAACCAGTACTTGAATTCAACGCCCTGCAATAACCCGAAAAAGAAACAGCAAAATTGTGTAGGTTTCGAGAGTTTTGGAGCCATAACTTAGACAACGCACATCACAAACTAACGAGTCATATAACTTCTGAAAGACATCTTGCAGAGAGCTAAATCATAACCACCAGTCCTACTAATGCTGATTGCTGTGTTCTTTCTGCGAGCCACGAGCTCGACTCAACCTGCCCAGCGATCAAAACATTAAGCCGACAACGGGGTCACCAACTCGCTGTCATCATCGATCGGAGGAGGCCCTTGAACCCATGCACCTTCAATGTTGTCAATGCTACCATTCAAACCATCATCCACAAAATCCCCAACTCGCTTCACTTTCTCTTCCCTAGGCAGGACAGGATAGTTCCCGGAGAAGCAAGCGTAGCAGAAGTCAGGCGAGTCCTGCCCCAGCAGCTTCTTCAAGCTATCAAACTCCAAAAACGCCAATGAATCACACCCAATGTGATCCCTGATCTCCTCCACGCTCATCCTGTTCGATATCAACTCCTCGGAGCTCGGAGTATCAACTCCGTAGTAGCACGAGGCCTTGATCGGTGGACTGGCGATCCTCATGTGGACTTCTTTAGCTCCAGCTTCCTTGATCATCCTAACAATCTTCGATGAAGTCGTCCCTCTCACGATCGAATCATCCACCACCACGACCCTCTTCCCTTCCAGTATCTGCCTCACGGGAGAAAGCTTCAGCTTCACCCCGAAATCCCTGATCTTCTGAGACGGCTCGATGAACGTTCTCCCCACGTAATGCGACCGAATCAAGCCCTGCTGAAACGGCACCCCTGCTTTCGCTGCGTAGCCCAGAGCAGCAACGACTCCAGAATCCGGAACTGCAATCACCACGTCACAATCGACACCCGATTCTGTGGCGAGTATCTCCCCAAACAGACGCCTGGACTCGTAGACAGACCTGCCGTACACTACAGACTGCGGCAGGGCAAAGTAGATGTGCTCGAATATGCACTGCTTCGGCTCGCGATGACCCAAAAGGCAGAGCGACGAGATCCCTTCATGGTCGACAACCACAACCTCTCCAGGATTCACTTCCCTCTCGTACTTGGCATCGATCAAATCGAGAGCGCAGGTCTCCGAAGCAAACACCACAGCGCCATTGCTTCTCCTCCCCATCACCAATGGCCTAAACCCGTAAGGATCCCTAACAGCAACCAACTTATCCTCCGTAACAAAAACCATCGAATAGGCGCCCTCGAGCTTCTCGCAAGCGTCGACGATTCTGGCTATGAAGGGCCTCGCTTTGGAGATAGCAATCAAATGCAGAACAGCTTCGGTGTCAGAGCTAGTGTTGAAAATCGAACCGCTATCTTCCAGGTCCGCTCGCAACTTCCTGTAATTCACCAGATTACCATTGTGCGCGACCCCAACAAACCCGAATCGATACCCGGCGACAAAGGGCTGCACGTTTTTCAGCATGGAAGCTCCGGCGGTGGAATACCTAACATGGCCGATGGCCAAATCGCCGGGCAATTGATTGATTTTGGACTCGTTAAACACATCGGTGACCAACCCAACACCAGTAACAGACTGAAAAACCTTGTCCTTTACCGCTACGATGCCGGCGCCTTCCTGGCCGCGATGCTGGAGGGCGTGGAGGCCCAGGTAGCAGAGCCGGGAGGCTTCTGGGTCGCCGTAGACGCCCACCACGCCGCACTCCTCGCGGGGCTTGTCGTCGAGTTCGTCGTAGTAGCAACGTTCGTCGTCTGAAAGGGGGAAATCTCCGCTCCGGGGAGAAGCCGAGGAGATACGGCAGAGGCCCCGGGCGGCGGCGGTAAAGGGTTTAGGGAGGGTTTTTGAAGTTGGGGGAAAGAAGAGATTGGGTTTCTGAGGGAAAGGGCATTTGGAAGTGGAGGATTTGGAGAGGGAGGAGGTGTTGGCGGCGGTGGTGGTGGAGGCGGTGGCAGCCATGGGAAAGGGTTGGGTTTGAATGGTTGGGAAGGGGAAGAAGGAAGGGAGGGAAGGGATGGGGAACGGAGGTACCAGGAAAAAAGTACGCTCCTTTATAGAAGAAAAGCTTATTTGGTTGATTTTCTAGGTTTTCAACCTGGCTCTGGTTTCTTTTGGTGCAAAACAAATTTGGGATTTTTTTTTTTTACAAATACATGTATTTGGATGAGTTTTGAATTCCTAGGTATTTGAAATTCGTTGGGAGTTTCCTTTCTATATAAGTCTGATCATGAGACACACCACACACCGAAGGATTCTTGAGCCTCCACTCATTTGCCCATGGAGTAGTGTCTTTCTTGTTTGTGTGTGAAGATATGTGGTGATTTTTAAGTTCTAGTCTAGATTTATGAGAAGGGCATGAGTTTTGAATATTGAAAGAGTAATGGCGGAGCTAGAAATATAAGTAAGGAGACTAAAGTTTACGTTCAAGATGTTTGAACCAGAGAGGGGTGCTAAAATCTTATAACCTAATACATTCTCCAAATTTGTTACAAAATTTACACGATTTTCAAAGTTGGGGGAGGGGGGCTATAGCCCCTCCTCTCCTGCTATAAAGTGGCTCCACCAATGTGAAAGAGGAGTGTGAAAATATGAGTGAATATGTTCATCCGGAATCTAATTCATCGACAATTTTATAATAATTTTTTTTTTAAATTTTACTCAAGCAATTTTTTTTGCTAGTCTTCGGAAGATGATTAGGGTGGGTAAGTCACAACTACCTGAAAATAACTAAACGCATGATTGGAATTTTGTGCTATTTGTCGATTTCAATTTCAAGTATTAATTTCGGTTTGTGGAAACTGAGACGAGTTTGAAGTTTTTAAAGGAGAACAGAGATTAGGGTACGTATAGTCACCCTCAACTTTGATTCATCGACAATCTTACAAAGATTTGACTTTCACCACTAGTAGATCGATCGTTTTCCCCAATAAAATTCTTTTGCAGATTCCACAATAGTATGAGGATTGAATAATAAATTTCCACAATCAAGAAAACTAATCCCACAATGTCAACATGAGCTCTAACTTAATAGATGGGTGGACATCAATACCCTATTAAATCATGCTATCTTATGCGACTTAAAAAACGTCTCGACAAGAACCAACAAATCCGTCGTATTTAGACGATTCAAGTATTAGACCTTTAGACCCACTTGAGAAAAATTAAGCATTCTGAAAAATAGTTGAAGGTTAAAAATGCCTCAGAATTAGGAGGACATTTTTGGGTACTAGCCGTAACCTATACAATTATCACTCTTCTTTGTAGGTCTAGTGCAAGGAATCCTTATTGGAGAATGATTCTCCTTCTTCTTCAATGGGAGCAATCTCCGGCGAGATCCGCCGCCGTTGCCACGGTGAAGTTTCCCGATCAACGGCATAGCAGCAGCAGTAATCGTAATACAGGATGGTAAATAAGGCCGAATTTAGAGCGAAAGGAATGAAAGCGAGTCCCCGAGTCTCACCGGCCAAGAAGTGTGGGTAGCGTATGTAAGGTTCCAAAGACCAAACATAATAATCCATAAAAGACAGAATAGATTCCAAATTGCTATTATTATTCCTCGCACCCCACTTGACTTGATTCCCACGCCATCCTGGCAAATAGAATCTCACACACACAACACAAACTGCCAATTACCTACTTGGGAGGATAGGGTTTGAAGGGCCTCGATAGTGATGGACATGTTACACTCCATAACCACTTGGGATTGTTCGTGTCATCGTGTGAGAGATGTCTTGAAACCGTTTTTACGAATAATTGTATTAGAGATTGAATCAACGGTTAGATATACGATAGTGAGATCGTATAAGGATTGGGAAGAGAGTCAATTATATCTTTGTCGGTTTGTCATTAGCAAGTTCATGCTTCGCGTTGAGGTCGCTAGGTCTGACGAGGTCCTATAGAAGCCTGTTGCGACTGCGATGGGTCACCTCATTCGCGAGAGATGATGGTACGCTCTTTGAAGAAGAAGAAGAAGAAGAAGAAGAAGAAGAAGAAGGATTGCATTGGTGGCAACTATATTTGACAAGTTGAGCTCCATATTGATCCACGTGCTTCCATTGAAACATTGACGAAGAAATCGATCTTCAATCGTGCTGGAACTCTATGTTGATCCACGTGCTTCCATTGAGACATTGACGAAGAAATCGATATTCATTCATGCTGGAACTCTATGACGATTGCAAGAACTTAGTGAAGAACGACGACTGCCGATGCCACGACTATGCTTGTTGGTTCAGTCAAATTTCGAAGTGGTTTTGCTGTCGTTTTAGCCTTTAGATAGCTTGCTCTTCAAGATTGGATAATTTCATGTAGTTCCAAGTTTACCTCTCTATATTCCCTACGAATCCTTTCTCGATTTTTCCGTTATGTGGGATTTTTGTATACTGGGCTAGACCTTCTATGCAAATCTTCAACAGACCCAACCTCAAGTTTACCTGAATATGCACTTCAACAGAACCGTTTATTGCTAGAGCCTAGAGGATATATCTGATCCGAACCGTAAGATGCATTCAGTGGTACTGAATCAGTGAATCTATCAATCTTTTGTTACTTGATTTGCTCTTTGCAATCAAAAACACTTATTTTTTCGTGAAAATTTCCATAAATCCCAAATAAGAGAGTATGCGAAGATCTTAAAAAGTTTTTATCTTCGATAGTGCGTTTACTAATTTTAATCGCAAGAGAAAGATCGATTTTGAACAACAAACAAGTTGATATAAATCTTCTTCAACGTATGCATAACATTCAGAGACAGACCCATGAAAGCTAATTAGTTATCAAAGATGATCTA